ATATGCTAATCTCGATTTTAATTTGAACAACTCAAACCTTTCCATGAACAAACTTTCCGATTAACTCGTCTCTGACTCACATCAACAATCCCACGGCTCAGATTTCCTGACTACAGCTCAAAGTTCATAAATTGACAGTCGTCCGTAAGCAAAGGACCATTTTACCCTTCATAAACCAGAGAGCGTGCCACATGATATTTTCCTGCAAACATCAACCAACTACACGAACTTGTTAGTGATTGGTTAAATGCAAAAATGCAACAGAATGCGAGATGATTCGACTAATCTTAGGGCAAAATTTGGGGTATTACATGATGTATCGCCACCCCAATGGTTATTGCCTTTCTATAAGAACTTGCCTTGCTATATGATACTGTGTTCGACCCTCAACGAGGGCACTTTTTATTCAAATTTATGAGTTTTTATGATTTTAATATTTTATCTTCTTTTTCCACTCTATATCATGCACACTTAGTGGGAGAGATGGCTTTATTTTGAACCTATGACCCCAAGGTATTGGGCTAAAGCCTTGGGGGAAGCACTTCTTATTTTTTAGCACATGGTTTTATTTTATTTTATTTTGTTTTATTTCATTTCATTTTCAATTTACCATAACTCCTTCATTTTTAATCATTTTTAAGTGATTCTTTTTTCCAATTCTTGTTTTAATGTGTATTTTCATACGATGATTAAAGAATTCTAAAATTATTATTTTAGAAACACTTTTCATTATGGGAAAATTGTAAATCATTTTAGGATTTTCACCCTCCTACCTCGCATTCCGTCATTTTCAAAACTGTGGACATTATTCTTCTTTGAGTTTTATTTGAGGATGACTTGAACTTGGATTGTTGGTTTCCTTTTACATTTAAGTATTGAAATTCATCTTTGTTTGTACGCATTTAATTGGTTCACCTTTAAAACTGTTGACTATCCCCATGAGATTTTGAACCATTTTTTTTACATCGTTGTGACATTGTTGGTTTATGTATGATAACCTTTACTCTTTATCCTAACCTTAGGATTTGAGTCGCCGTACTCACATTTAGCGTCCCGCTGTGGACATCCTTTACCCTTTATCCTAACCTTAGGATCTGAGTCGCCGTACTCATGTTTAGCGTCCCGTCGTGGACATTCTCTACCATAACAATCTCAACGTAGATTCAGGAGTCGCCGCACTTCATGTAAGTACTTACCTATGAATGCTTACATCCCTCTGGAACCTTGACCACATTCAAGAGTTCCTCACCCCTAGTTAGGGGAACTACGGTTGCTATGATTCCATTCCCATCAAGATACGTAGGCACGAGATGCGATTTCTTGGCGAGCAAACTTTGTACAAACTTTGTACATACTTTATACTTTATATCTTTACCCTTAGCACATTTCCCTTTAGCAAGCAACTTTAGCAAACAAAAATATTAACAAGAGGTTCCTGTAGAGTACTACAGATGTTTAGGATGTGAAATACCTACCCTAGGCATAACCAACCCCCGAACCTTTAGATCTCTCTTTGCTTAGCTTTAGGTCTTGCTTTTCGCTTTGCATTTAAAGGTTTTTCTTTCTTTAAACTTTTCCTTTTGGATAAATTCAAGTCCGATTGTGAATTTAAGAATTAAGATTCAAGTTAATCAATAGCTTGGTATCACGATTGTCAACGCAACAGAAATGGCGACTTCACTGGGGATAACATTTCCCTAAGAGGGTTAAGCCTACCTTGTTTATATTTGTGTTTGCTATATGTTTACTTGCTTGTATATTTGTACATATATCTGTTTGTGCCTGGGTTTTTTCTGTATGCAGGGTTGTTACCTTGAGTGGTGAGGATAAGTCTTATACCCGGACTTGAGTGCACCTATGATAGGAAGGTGGTATATTCAAGAAGGCTTATAGGGAAAGCTAAAATATTTTCTAGGCATATAGGTTGGACATTCTAATGTTGAAATTATCATATGCCAAAGAAAGTATTGTTTGGATTTGTTAATAGACACAAACCTTCTTAGTTCCAAGCTTGCCAAAACTCCTTTTGGTCCATCTGCTAAATTACATCAAAATTCAAGTGCACCTTTTGAAGACATACTCAGTTATAGAAGATTGGTTGGGAAATTTCTCTTTCTAATAACCACTCAACCTGTCATTGCTTTTGTGACACAACAACTAAGTCAATTCCTGGCATCACCAACTATAACACATTATGACACATCTTGCAGAGTTGTGAAATACTTGAAAGGTTCACTTGGGAGAGGACTATTATTCATAAAAGAGATTCAAATCTTTAGCTTCTTTGATTTACAGATGCTGATTGGACTAGATGTTTGGATACTAGGAGATCTACTTCATGCTATTGTTTCTTCATTGGTTCTTATTTGATTTCTTGGAGAGATAAGAAACAACAAACTATTTCCCATAGTTGTGAACTTCAATGGCTTCTCTATTTGTTACAAGATCTAGGCGTTCAATTTAGTAAGGCACATCTACTATATTGTGATAACCAAAGTGCAATTCATATTGTAGCCAATCCAGTTTTTCACGAGCGCGCGAAGCATTTGGAGTTTGATTGTCATTTCGTGAGAGACAAGTTACTGCATAAAGCATTCAAATTGTTACCTGTCAAATTCCAAGCACAACTTGTTGACTTCTTCACAAAGCCACTACCACCAAAAGTCTCAATTACTTCATTTCCAAGCTTAAATGCTTGATTTATATCATGTTAAACTTGAGGGAGGGTGTTCAAGTTACATAAGCTTTCAGAAGCTGCATTTAAAAGTTGCTTTCAGAAGCTGAACACTATAATTTAGTGCAATCTTGCCATACCGTATTCCATATAAGCTAACATTTGTTACAATTAATTAGAGGTTGTTAGATCCTAAACTTCTAGGTAACCACTTGTTATAACTAACTTGATCAATGAATGAATGAGATTTTACTTCTATCTATCTCTTTTCTTTATTTTCATCCATCATCATTATTTGTGAAAACTTCATGAATATCCAAAATCCGTTACATACCTTCCTAACTTACTATTGGATTTTTATTTACAACATCTCATGCATTTTATTTATCATTGTAATTACTTATATCTGGTTATTTGCTTGATTGGCAAGTACACCTTTTACTATACATGTAAATGCACTTCGGTTAAATAAATTAAATTTTTAATTGAAGGTTAACATTCTTATATTGGATTGGGTGATTGAAAATGAGGTTTGGTTCATAAATTTTATTATTTAAACTATAAGTGAACACAATATTGAAGTGAAGCCATGCCATAGTATATATGATGGATGTATTTAGAGATGGAGAGGTAGAGAATGATTTTGTAAGTTATTCATTGTAGATTAAGCCTCACGAATGACAAAGTGAGGGTTGTCAATATGAAGAAATGAAATTGAGGGGTGAAATATGGTGTTACATGAGAAAATCCATTTGTGGAAGATTACTCTTGTGATTATGGAGGAATCTTAAAAAACATTATAATATTGATATCACATTGTCAAACTTTATTTTATAATATTAATAAAAAATTATTTGATGTATCAATGAACATTAAAATTAATGCTAATTTTATAAAAATGGCCTATTATAATATTGTAAGAAAAATGATCGATTGAGATATAATAGAAAGATGAACATTGCTTGAAAGCATCAACTTCTTGACACATTGATTGACACAAACATAATATAAGAAATTAAAGACATAGTAGAATAAGTAGCAACTCCATTCTCATCCAGCATATGGATAAAGAATGAAATGATCTTCCCTACTTTAGATTTCCTAATTACAATCCAAATACCATATAGGCTTACACATAAAATTAACAAGTACTAAGGTCCATCTCAATTTAAAAGTTGCCATAGAGAAAGATATAAAAGAGGAGATTGATAAATTGAAAGACATGGAGAGAGAGGGAGAGAAGGAGAGAGAAACAAAGAAAGAGTGATGATGAGATTCTCATTAATTTCACCTATGTCCTAACCATGGTTGGTGATCAAAGTGAAGTAACCTAAGGGAACCCAAATATCTCCCAAGGTTACATGCAAGTGTTTTTGAGTTCCACACATGTAGTTCTCAAAATGATGATGAAATGTTCTAAATATGCTAATTGGGAAAGTAAAGAAATACTATCCCTCCTAAATTGGGCTTAAACTCCCATAGTTTAGCCACAATGAATTTACATTAAGTAAACAAAAACATGGTTAATTACTTTCTCCCCTTACCCAAAGGAAAGATGGTTAATTTGTTGGTTGGTTAAACCCTTTTATATGAAAAATAATTTGATAAACATGACTTATCCTAATTAACCCTAAAAACTAAGACTATATTTATATATATAGCTAGATGTTACCATACAAAAAAGATGGGACATCCAAATGTCCATGATTGCTAAATTCACCTCATCCTCAAGAGAGGTGTGATTAGCAAGTGATTATAGAGGATAGATACCTATTTCTACAAAACTAGCTATCTATTTGTGAGGTTTTTGAATTTACAATTTTTGAAAAACCAATCTTTATTACTTTCACTTTTGCCCTTCATGGGCTTAAGTTAATTAACAAGATGGGCTTTTACTTGGGCTTAGCTTTTCCATGGGCTAAGTTTTCCATTCTTTTTCCAACTTAAGCTATTTCCTATAGCTTTTGTTGGTGATTGATTAAACATCTTTTGATTCTTTCAAGAACCAATGCAACTTTTTTTTCATGAACAAAAACAAAAGGGAGTAATGCATGATGATGATGATTGATGAGTATGACCCTCCAAATTACATGGAGAGAAAACCTTTGGGCCCCTATGGGGGGCCTATGATGATGATGGAAAAGCCCAAATTCCAATTATGGGCTTTTTTTTTCTTTGGTGTTAGTGAAAAGAGTGTGTGTGTGTGAGAAACACCATGGTTAGGCCAAAGGTTGATTGATGATATAAGAGACTTCAAGAAGCAATAACTTGTGGAAGTTTTGACACAGCTAGATTTTTGAGATCATGACATGAATATGATGAGTCTCTAACGATGAGGGATTGGAGCTTGAAGAGCCATTGTCACGCCTGTGGCACAGCAAAACACACTGTCAAAAATATTAGCGTCTCATTAATACACTTTTAATTGCATAATCAAATAAACTAACCAAAATTATCACAATTTTAAAGTAATCCCGGTGGATTAACCGATAGCAGAAATCTAATAGCATCAGACTCTGTCAAACAATCCTCATAAAAACTGTTTGTAAGATACTGATTGTCCTTACTTATAAACACATATATTATCTAAAACAGGTTCTTTGCATATGCATGAATGCGACAAAATATTGACGATAATCACAATTTAATTGCGACAGACAATTTATAAGAATATAGTTAGAAGTAAAAACCTGATGGCAAGGCAGCAGGAGAAGGAGCAAGAGAAATGGGAGTTCCATAATGCTGAGCATAACCACCCGTAGAAGCAATTGGAGAATATTGAAACACATGAGGAGGATAGTTAACACCATAACCTTGCCCGGAAGTGTAGCCGCCAGTCGTTGCACCGCCAGTTCCTTCGCCATATAGATATGGATAGTAAGCTGCCGCGGCCGCTGCGCCACCAGTCATCATCCCTCCAGTTGGACCACTTCCATAAACTGGATACTGTGCTGTTGCTCCACCATACACACCATAGTAGCTCTGCATTTTCCAATCACACTTTTTATTTCAAAAACAAACAACACAATTAACATTAACATTATTAATGTTTTTAATCTGTCTATATCAATTTTATAGGAATTTTTGCAGGAATTTTTAAAAGAATTTACGTAATTAAAATTAACAACAATTTTAAAAAGTACAACTCTTAAATATTCTCCTCAATTACTATATTGTATATATCAATTTTATCTCTCAAAACCTAATTTTATATTCATTACTTTTATTTTAACTTAAAATGTTTATATATTATATTGTTTTACTTTGAAATATACTAATTTTGCCAAAAATTTCAACTATCATTCTTCAGTGAAAATGACTTTCTAATAAATAAATCAATTTGATAAACATAAATGAACAGATTCTACAACTAAGAACTAATACACACAACAAAGAAATTAGGATTCTAACTTTATCATAACATATAATCAATCATGTTATGTTTTATATATTATGTAACAAAAATTGCAATTATTTGATTATATATTCTTAAAATAACATGTCATTACTTTATTTCAATATAATAAAATTTATAAAAAAATAGAAGTCAAACATTCCTTTCTATACTAGATTATAAAATAGAATTTTCAAATTTTGAAATTTTAATACTAGATAATAAAATAAAATTGTATTGAGGACATTGATGGTAGCAAAGCATGCAGTGGATAAAATAATTTAAGGTCTGAAAAAGGCTTTGAATGTATAGAAGACTGTGAAAGTATGAGTCAGAAAAGAATGGACCATAAAGTCAGAAACCTCACTGTATTTTGAATCAAAGAAAGAGAAAAAGTTGAAAGAAATAGAAGAAAAACTTTGACTAGTGCTGTACACAATCATTTGTTGGTTATATGGAATTATCAATTATATGAAAAAAGTACTGTTAAGGTCACCGACTTACCACGTTCACCCCCACATTCTGTAGGGTACAATTATGAGCTGTAGTGTAAAAAAGTTGGTGACCACATTCATAAGCAACCTTCATGTCGATTTACTGTTTTACCCTTTTGATATCTATATTTGTGGGCCATAACCTATATCTTATGATATTTATTTCACATTTAAATAAATATTTATTAAAGAAAAACTATTATATTTTAATAAATATTTTTATTACAAAATCTTTATATTAAATATTAATGGCATTCTACATTTCACAAATATTTCTATTGATGGTTTTTTTTATTGTCAATTTTAATTGTAAATATATAAAATGAAGATCCAAATTATTTGAATTTAATATATATATATATATATATATATATATATATATATATATATATATATATATATATATATGTATATATATATATATATGTATATATATATATATATATATATATATATTATATATATATATATATATATATATATATATATATATATATATATATATATATATATATATATATATATATATAAATTAATTTTGTAAATAAAATAAAAATGGCATGATCAAAATTGTAACTAAGTTAATATACTATTGGAAAGTAAAATCTAAACTAGTTTAATAACAGTATTTTATGTATAACATCATTTGTATATTGTCTAATTAAGACTATCTAGGTTACCAAAAAAAGAAGAAAGAAGAATACATAGGCTTACATTTTACCAATGACATATCAAATCTTTTTCACATCATTAATAAAAATAACATGTTATAAAAAAAACTAAATTAGATTTTGGGAGAAAATCGTAAATATAACTCAAATCCCAATTTTATAAATAAAGGAATATAATTAGATATTAGCAAAAATAAAAAGATCATAATTTAACCTAGATTTAATTTAAATTTGGTAAAAGTAAAATTAAAATATTATTTAGGAAGTATTTTATGAAATTAAATTAATCAAGTAGTATTTTCTTATTCTCTTTTTCATGCATTCTAGTAAATTTTTGAACAGTGAGTCAAAATAAAACAACGAAACTTTTGAACACTAGTCATTATTCAACTGCAAAGACGTGTTGTTAGAAGTTAAAACCAAGACTCAAATTAATATTGTTAATAGGATTTATTAAGATGAATTCATTTTATATGATTATATTAAGTATTTGAATGAGGGTAGTTGGATATTTCTTTAAAGATGAAAAGCAAAGTGTGTCGTAAAAGTCATGCTAGAAAACGCATCCTAGGTAAAAGGTATAAACATAGGAGACAAGAGAAAAAGTAAAAGGTAAAAGTACATACCGTAGGGTAACTATAATCTGGCGAGTAAGAAGAGTACCTGAAAATAATGTTCAGAAACAATTACAAAAAATCACTTCAATATGTTATCAAAATGTTATCTTAACTTTTTTTCTTAGACACAATAATGAGATATCCACACTGTCTTTACTGTTCCATATTTTCATATTTAATCTTCTAAATGACATGACATGCATGTGATGAGAAAAATATGAAAAGTTAAAAACAAAACCACATGAATCTATTAGTCAAAAATCATATATATCATCTACAAAAATATATGTTTAGAGTCTTCCAAGACGTGTAAGACGTTTTGTTGTACAAAAATTTAATATTTCTAATGATTAAACTATAAATATATAAAATTTATAAATCATTTATGATTAAATCCTAGATATAAATTGGTACGAATATGTGACCAAGTTTTGTTGTTTTTCATTGAGAGAGAAAAAGATAGTTGATGAAAAGAGACATAAAGGACCATGTGGACTTAAGGTAGTTATTTTGTTTTATTTATTAAAAAAGAATACTAGAAATGAACTGGCAAAGCATGCTAGGTTGGTGTTATAGTGATAAGCCTAGCTAGTATATTAAATCATATTCAATGGTTTTTATTGTCTATGAGTTGGCTTTGCACGTGACATTCTAACCTTATACTAGTACAAATGTAAATGGTTTGTTTGATATAGAAAATGAAAAAAATAAAATAGTATAGTATAGTGTGCAAGAAGCATATTGATAGAGTTTCATACCCATAAACATTATAAGGTATCCCTTGCTGGATAGCATAATGAGGGAAGGTTGCAGCTGAAGGAAAAGCAGATCCCACTCCTCCAAATCCTGTCTGGAAAGAACCCATTACCCTAAAGTTCCTTCCTCCTCCTCCTACAAATTTTCATCATTACACCAAAATTCATCAATGTCATTCAATATTTTAGACAAATAGAAAGTATATTTCATATGATGAAAGCATGCAGAGACATTTGATTGTCGAAACATAGTTAAAATCAATAATATCGATTTTGAGATTTAGAGATGTAGTTTTGAATTTGTAATATTAAATACTAACGACTCTTCACATTTAATGTGTGATTTTATGTGTTTATTTTTTAAAATAGATATAATAATACAATTTTTTTTAAATAACTTATTTGATAAATTTTCATCTCTTAAAAATAAATAAATAGAAACTTATATATTCAAATATACTACTAACTAAGTTGATTCTGTTGAAATAATTAAAGTATTAAAAAATGTAAATATAAAATAACGTCTAATTTATCTTGTTTTTAGAGATGCTAAATTTAAATATCAAAAAATAATTTTCTGTTAAAATATTTGTTAAAAATTCAACTTTTTCTAATAGTGTTCTAAGAAAAAGGAAGAGTTTGAAATTTGAATTTATTTATGTGAACACATAGTAAAGGAAAATGTAGGTTAAAAACCCAAAAACAAAAAATCAATAAAGGTAATAAAAGTTGTAGAATAGACTCATTTGGTTTGATGCTTCTTAAACAAACTTGTTTCATTTTATTGGTTTCCCAAAAAACATACATGAAATAATGAAACTCTTTACACATGGATAAAACATTTTATAACTTTCCACTCTGGAAGAATATCCAACCTTAGCTGCCACTTAGCTGTGTGTCTTTCTTTCTCATCAAAGAATATTTTTACAGCATAATTTATGTTTCACTCAAACTAAAAAATAATTTGCAAAAGGAATATCCATTCACATTAACAGTGATACACTAAAATATAAAGATTTAATGTATCTTTTAAGATCTTATACATCATATCAATATAAACCAAATTATTTAAATTTAAACTTAATTAGATAAGAAAATTTTATTATGTCTATAATGAATAGGTTAGTTTTTATATTGTGTGTAAAATTTATATATACATGCATCTTATTATAACTTACCATGCAGATATTTTTAGAGATGTTTTTAATGCATATAAGTTCATATTTTTGAAATAAAGTAAAATTTATAGAGAAAAAGTTAGTAAATAATAAATATTTTTGTAGAATATTACCATGCTTTGGTGTTGAAGGCTTAGATCTTTGAACACCCAAAGAAGCAAGATTGCAATTAGCTCTTCTTCCATCAATTATAGGAGCAGCATCAACACAAGCTCTCATAGCAGCATCAGGCTCACGAAAAGTAACCTATAATTAAAACATAAAAAAATTCACCAACAATATCAAACAATTTTTTTATAACGAACAAAACTAAATAATATTATCATATATATTTAAATACGCGAAGTAATATTGTAAATGTCTGAATTGTACTGCTACCACGATCTATTGAGATATTGTAAGTGTTTAAGTTCTATTGCTATCACAATTCATAGAAATATCGTAAGTGTTTTAGTTATTTTGCTACCACGATCCATTGAGATATTTTAAATGTCTAATTTATTTTCTACCACAATTCATTGAGATTCAGACTTTGATTTCAACCGAATTATTTTTTGGTATAAATTTATTTAAAACTTATAAACTTCATTTTATACTTTGAGATAAGAAACCAACAATTAATAAAAACATGATAATGATAAATAGATTAAAATCTAAAGAGAAGAAAAATAAAGAGAAACATACAAATCCATAGCCTTTGGATCTTCCGGTAGCTTTATCAGTGATGACAACAGCTTCCAAGATCTCACCAAACTGTTCAAAATACTTCTTCATGGTTTCTTTCTGAGTTTCCCAAGCCAAACCTCCGACAAAAACCTTGGTGTATGTCGTGTCACCAAACTGTCCTGCCAAGTTAATTGGAGTCATCTTGATGAAGATCTTGTTAATATTATTGAAATATTATGCTCTAGAGTTATAGCTAGCTATGACAAAACTTCCCAAAATGTTGTTTTTTAATGAGTCTATAGACAGATCTAGGTGATGGGGTTGGAGAATTTGAAAAAAAGATACTAAATTTAGAAGGATCTTCTTCTCAAGGTTGTGGTTGGTGTGTTTGTGGAGATGAGTGGTTATGTGAATAGAAGAGAGACAATTAGGTCAGAGAGAGAGAGAGAGAGAGAAAGAATTGGGAGGGAAGAGAAAGCAAAAGATGGGAAAAAAAGAAGGAAAGAAGTTTACATAATAAAGACATGAATTATATACATAGCAGCCCCCACCCCACCATGTCTGCATTATTCAAAATATTATATATATATATATATATATATATATATATATATATATATATATATATATATATATATATATATATATATATATATATATATATATATATATATATATATATATATATATATATATATATATATATGTTATGATTTTGATTTTGAAGAATAAAAACCACAAACCGGGTAGGGTGAGATATGGTTCGCGCTTTTATTGGTTCGCGGTTGTATTGGTTGAATTTCATGATGAGGTGTAATCATTTTAAAGTGTTTTATATTCAAATTTATATGTGATGGTACAACCGCATGCAATGGTGTGTAACTTTTTACATGTTCATTTTGAATTTACTTTAGTTAATTAAGCCTCAATTTCGACCAAATGAAAAGAAACAATGTTTGAAATTTAGACCTAATGATATTGCTAGCATGTCTTAAAGTCAATTTCTTCTTCGTGTTAAAAAAATTATAAAAAAAGTTAAAATATAATTATATATATATATATATATATATATATATATATATATATATATATATATATATATATATATATATATATATATATATATATATATATATATATAGTATATATATATATATATATATATATATATATATATATATATATATATATATGTTGGATGTAAACTTTTAGAGTTGGTCATGACTAGGGCTGGAAATGAGTCGAGTCGAGTCGAACTCACCTCAGCTCGGCTTGACTCGTTAAGAATTGTTCGAATTCGAGTTCGAGTTCGACACGAACTTTTTTTTAAGCTCAAACTCGACTCGTTATAAGTTCACGAACAGTTCGGTTCGACTCGTTAAGTTCATCTCATTAGGTTCAGCTCACATGGTTCATGAACTTAAAAACTATTTTTTTAAATATATATATTTTTTAGTATATTTGACATTTTAAATAAATACATTTTTAAAATAAAATATTAAAATAAAATAAAAGTTATCATATTGATATTTAACTTTATCTTCGAAATCTACTAATTCAAAACCTACACAACTTTCAAGAGATGCATTTGAGAGTCTAATTCAAAAACTACTAAATTGAAGATTAAATTTGTCTAAGATTTGAAGTAAATATTTAAACCTAATCTTAAAGACAGTATAATTCTTTTCATATGTAATCGAGTTGACTCATGCACCTTACGAGTCGAACTATGTATAGTTCAAGTTCAGCTCATTTAGTTAACGAACTTAATGTTTCGCTCATACTCAACTCATTTGGTTCATGAACCTAGTTCAACGATTTAATTGTCGAGTCGAATTCCGAACTATCTTCGAGTTGGTTTGGTTCATTGCCAGCCCTAGTCATGACATATGAGAGGTGGTGCTAGTTTTTCGTAATAATTATTGTATTGATAAATACTCTGAATTTAAGTCGGTAAATGGTTGAATTTATGAGAGAGATGTTTTTTTTAAAAAAATTAATTTGCATCCTGAATTTTGAAGATAGATTTCATATGTAATGCAGTTGTTGTTGAGTGTTAGAAATAATGTATATTTTATAAATTTGGTGACCAAGTTTGTTAGAAGGTATTTTAGTATTTTATTATGTTGTCTATCCCTAGTTTTTTATGTATATATAGACTAGTGGTAGATATCACTTTTAATTAATTCTTCCTTACAACTTTCGTAGCCGTCATTTGCAGAATACAACAAATATTGTCTCATTCTATTCATCTCTTTTAACTTTGTGCACCAACAATTGGTATCTAGTGCCCCGGTTCGGGTCCACGGGGAAACACGGGAAACACGAGTGAAACGGTGAGGCGTTGTGTTTAACACCCCCTTTCTATACCCCCAAATAAACACAATTAATCATTTAGGCACGTAATCAATATATCATCAGAGTATAATTACAATCACGGTATAAAAGAGGCATGCCACATTATACAAAAATTCAACATGTACAACACCTGCTCAACAGATATGCAACAACGGGGCAACACCCACAAGGAAAAATATTTAGAACATAGGCGGAAACATCTAAATATTTCATAACCTCCAAAACATGTAATCACATACATATACATCATTCAAGTTGATTTACAACATCATCAATATAAACAATATTCATCCAGCATGTTTCATCAACATTCATCAGCAGATACAAACATAGATGTATCACAAAATAATCAAAACAATCCCTAGCTACCCGGTGCTACATATCAGAGCCAACCGACCAAAAAGAATGAAGCCACGCTTCACAAAACTCCAGCAATCTAATCTGCAATGCCCCGTTGTTGCATATCTGTTGAGCAGGTGTTGTACATGTTGAATTTTTGTATAATGTGGCATGCCTCTTTTATACCGTGATTGTAATTATACTCTGATGATATATTGATTACGCGCCTAAATGATTAATTGTGTTTATTTGGGGTATAGAAAGGGGGTGTTACATTAAGTGGTATCAGAGCCAGTGTTGAGTCAGTTGTGTCTATCTCGTTGTTTTGTTGGTTGAACGGTTGTTTAACCTTGTTGTTATTTTTGGGAATAATCAGAATATGGTTGGTCGTAATGACAATGTGATGGCTGCTACATTGGAGGCAATGGCTAGGGCGGTGCAGGGTGCGCCGAATGTGAACGCTAATGATGAGTTTAGAAAGAATCAGCCGCCGGTATTCAAGGGAAGGTTTGATCCGGACGGTGCTCAAATTTGGTTAAAGGAGATCGAGAGGATCTTTAGAGTTATGAATTATGCTGAAGGGAACAAGGTGAGACTTGGGGCTCACATGCTGAGAGAAGAAGCCGACGACTGGTGGGTCGGTATGAGACGAGTTCTTGAAGTAGACGATGAGGAAATCACTTGGGATTTATTTCGCACCGAGTTTTTGAGAAAGTATTATCCTGAGAGTGTGAAGGGAAAGAAGGAAATGGAGTTTCTGGAATTGAAACAAGGCAATATGTCCGTGATAGACTACACAGCTAAGTTCACAGAGTTGGTGAAGTTTCATCCTCACTATGATGCGGTGACGGCGGAATTTTCCAAGTGCGTTAAGTATGAGAACGGCTTGCGTCCTGAGATCAAGCAAGCGGTGGGTTATCAGAGGATTAGAAGGTTTTCGGACTTGACCGAATGCTGTAGAATTTTTGAAGAGGATAGTAAAGCTCATTCTACTCACTATAAGAGTTTGAATGAGAAGAGAGGAAAGCAACCGGTAAGGAGTGGACCTTATGTGACGCCTGCTTATAAAGGCAAGCATAGGGAAAACTTTGTTAAGAGGTCCGGAGGTGGAAGTTCTGGTCCCATTAAGTGCTATAGGTGCGGTGAAGTGGGGCACAAATCTTTTGAGTGTAAGAAGGATGGAGCGAAGTGTGCTAACTGTGGAAGTATCGGCCATGCTACAACTGATTGTAGAAGAAACGTGGTGAAATGTTACAATTGTGGGGAAGTTGGTCATATTAGTACAAAGTGTACTAAGCCAAAGCAAGCTCCAACAAGTGGGAAGGTATTTGCATTAGCCGGTTCAGACCTACTAATGTAGATCGGTTGATTAAAGGTACATGCTTTATTAATAATACGCCTTTAGTTGCTATTATTGATACCGGAGCGACTCATTCATTTATTTCTTTTGAGTGCACCAAGCGTTTGGATTTGTGTTTGTCTTCTTGTGGTGGCGATATGGTTATTGAGACTCCCGCTTCGGGGTCGGTAACTACATCTTTGGTATGTTTAAGTTGTCCCTTGACCATGTATGGTAAAGACTTTATTATGGACTTGGTGTGTTTGCCGTTAGAAGGATTAGATGTGATCTTGGGTATGAATTGGTTGTAGTATAATAGAATCCGTATTGATTGTTATCACAAGTTGGTAAGGTTTCCTTCTATGGAAGATGATGAGGAAGAGAGTTTTCTATCCACTAAAGAGTTGAAGAAACTTTTGGCGGATGAAGCTCAAGTGTTCTGTCTGTTTGCATCATTGTCGGTAGAGAGTAAGGTTGAACTAGATATGGTTCCAGTGGTGTGTGACTTTTCGGAAGTATTTCCGAAGGACATTGCGGACGTACCACCAGAAAGAGAAGTCGAGTTTTTGATTGATCTAGTTCCGGGTACTAGACCGATTTCGATGGCACCGTATCGTATGTCGGCATCTGAGTTGGTAGAGTTGAAGAAACAGTTGAATAATTTGTTGGAAAAGAGGTTTGTCAAGCCGAGTGTTTCTCCTTGGGGTGCGTCGGTATTGTTAGTAAAGAAGAAGATGAGAGTATGTGGTTGTGTATTGATTATCGGCAGTTGAACAAGGTAACTATTAAGAACAAGTATCCACTTCCTAGAATTGATGATTTGATGGACCAATTGGTTGGTGCCCGTGTTTTAGTAAGATTGATTTAAGGTCAAGTTATCACCAGATTCGTGTTAAGGAGGAGGATATTCAAAAGACGGCTTTTAGGGCACGGTATGGTCATTATGAATTTTCAGTGATGCCATTCGGAGTTTCGAATGCGCCAGGTGTGTTTATGGAATACATGAATCGTATTTTTCATGATCAGTTGGATCGTTTGTTGGTTGCGTTCATCGACGACATTTTGATTTACTCTAAGTCCCTAGAAGAGCATGTAGAGCATTTGAAAGTTGTGTTGCAGATTTTGAAAGAGAAGCAGTTATATGCTAAGTTGTCGAAGTGCGAGT